CAAAGTTCTAATATAATAATATCAATGCATAACAAATAAAGTGAGCCATCCAAAACCACCTTACATATGACATATCAGGAACATGTGTGGTTAAGAAGTTTCCTGAGCAACCATGTTCCAGTGAAAATGTTTATTCAAAGTCACACTTTGCATATATAACAGTATTGACATATCCAAAGGAAAGGGTTGGCAAAACAAGACAGATCATATAGCACGTAGAAAAAAGGAGGAACAGAAACAGAAATCAGTAAGTAGCTAACTGATGTTTATTAGAGAGGCAAACTTGGTCAGTGGTTTCAGGTTTCATACTTTCACTGGCAGGTGTATTTATGGAAGGAAATAAGGATTCGAGATATGTCAACCTGTTTATTTTTGTACTATCCTCCCCAACTAGTGGTTATATAATGGTTTCTCATGGAAACTACTTGTGTTGAGAGATTGCTAATCTCATAAAATTTTATTACTGAGTGTAAGTTTCTAAGCAGTTTATCATTTCTGGTTCCATTAGCCAAAATTATACTTTATTTTTAGAATATGTTACATGCAGGACCCTTTTGAGTAAAGTCTTTAAAGGCCTTGATGAATACATTATGTACAAATGATCACATGATACATGTTCTGTGATACATGCTTCATACTTCTATTAATATATATATGAAGCAGAATTTTAAGGAAGCACAAATCCATAAAGAAAACATTTCTTTATTATGAATAATCCAACCTATTCATAACTTTAAGTCTCTTATTGTCAATAAGCTGGAGCCTGAGATGCTGGACTGTGATAGGCATTCTGAGAAACTCAACTGGGGCTGGATTGTCTGAGGATGGAGATAAAGGCTACAGCAGTTGGATTAAAGGATACTGAGTTGAAGCTTTCAATAAACAATAGAATTGAAATTGCATCCTTGACCTGATTCTGAAGTGACCATGCAGAGAATACAGAGCAATGAGAAAGAACTGAATATTCAACCAACAACATTCAGAGAGGATGCTAGAAGCAGAACCCAGTTATGTTTCTTGAGAGAATCTTCAGATCTTCATGGGGTGCTGCTCACCAGGCCCATGAATAGTAAGGGGACAGTTAAGAGTACTGAAATGTCTCCTTATATTTTTTCCTTAAAAAAAATTACTTAATCCATAGAATTTTGAAACCATTTATATTAAGAAATCATGGCATAAATCTGATCATCCTTTTAATATTTTATGAACATATGCTTTGTTTTTATACCATTTTAAAATAAGCTAATAGTTTTCATTGTATCTTTTTTTAGATTCTTCATATAAGTGATATCATATGATATTTGTCTTTCTCTGTCTGACTTACTTAACTTGGTATGATTAACTTCAAGTCTATCCATGTTGCCGCAAATGGAGTTATTTCACTCTTTTTATGGCTGAGTAATATCCCATTGTATAAATGTACCACATCTTCCTTATTCATTCATTTGGACACTGAAGTTTCTCTCATGCATTGGCTATTGTAAACAGTGCTGCAATGAACATTTGGGTGTATGAACTTTTGAACCAAGTTTTTCTCCAAATATATGCCCAGGAGTGAGTGGGATTGCTGGATCATATAGTAGCTCTATATTTAGTGTTTTAAGGAACATCCACACAGATATTCATAGTGGTAGTACCAGTTTACATTCCCATCAACAATGTAGGAAGGTTCCCTTTTATCTACACTATCTCTAAAATCAACTGTTTGTAGATGTTTTGATGATGGCCATACAAGCAGGTGTGAGGTGATAGTCTCATTACAGTGTTTATTTGCATTTCTCTAATAATTAGCAACATTGAACATCTTTTCATGTACCTCTTGCTCATCTGTATGTTTTCTTTGGGAAAATGTCTATTTGAATCATCTGTCCATTTTTCGACTGAGTTGTTTGTTTTTATGGTATTAAGCTGCATGTTGTTGTTCAATTGCTAAGTTGTGTCTGACTTTTTGCAACACCATCAGTTGCACCACTCCAGGCTTCCCTGTCCTTCAGTGTCTCCCTGAGATTGTTTAAACTTATGTCAATTGAATCAGCAATGTGATCCAACCATCTCATTCTCTGTCACCCCCATCTCCTCTTGCCCTCATTCTTTCAGAGCATCAGGGTCTATTCAAATAAAGCAGATTTTCTCAACAAGTGGCCAAAATATTGGAGCTTCAATTTCAGCACCAGTCCTTCCAATGAATATTCAGGTTTGATTTCTTTTAGAATTGACTGGTTCCATCTCCTTGCTGTCCAAAGGGCTCTCAAGAGTCTTCTTAAGCACCACAATTTGAAAGTGTCAATTCTTCAGTGCTCAGCTTTTTTTATGACCCAACTCTCACATCCATGTATGACTACTGGAAAAACCTTAGCTTTGACCATATGGACCTTTGTCAGCAAAGGTGATGTCTCTGCTTTTTAACATGCTAAGTTTGTCATAGCTTTCCTTCCAAGGATTGACTGTCTTTTAATTTCATGGCTGCAGTCACTGTCCACAGTGATTCTGAAGTCAAGAAAATGAAATCTGACACCATTTCCATTTTTTCCTCATCTATTTGCCATAAAGTGATGGGACCAGATGGCTTGATCTTTGTTTTTTGAATGTTGAGTTTTAAGTAAGCTTTTTCACTCTCCTCTTTCATTTTCATTAAGAGGCTCTTTAGTTCCTCTTCACTTTCTGCCCTTAAAGTGGTATCATCTGCATAGCTAAGGTTGTTGATATTTCTCCTGGCAATCTTGATTCCAGCTTGTGAGTCATCCAGCCCAACATTTCATATAATGTACTCTGTTAACAGGGTAACAATATATAGCCTCGACATACTCCTTTCCCAATTTTGAACCAGTCTGCTGTTCCATGGCCAGATCTAAGGAGGCAGGTAATGTGGTCTGGTATTCCCATATATTCAAGAATATTCCGTAGTTTTGTTGTGATGCACACAGTCAAAGGGATTAGCATAGTCAATGAAGCAGGAAATGTTTTTATTGGAATTTCCTTATTTTTTCTATGGTCCAGTGGATGTTGACAGTTTGATTTCTGGTTCCTCTACCTTTTTAAATCCAGTTTGTATATCTGGAAGTTGTTGGTTCACATATTGCTGAACCCTAGCTTGAAGGATTTTGAACATAATCTTGCTAGCATGTGAAAGGAGTGTAATTGTATGGTAATTTGAACATCATTTGGCATTGCATTACTTTGGGATTGGAATGAGAACTGACCTTTTCCAGTTCTCTGACCACTGCTGAATTTTTTAAATTTACTGGCATGTTGAGTGCAGCACTTTAACAGCATCATCTTTTAGGATTTTAGGATTTGAAATCGCTCAGCTGGAATTCCATCACCTCCACTAGCTTTGTTTGTGGTGATGCTTCCTTAGACTTCACTCTCCAGCAGGTCTGGCTCTAGGTGAATGACCCCATCGTCATGGTTATCTGGGTCATTAAGAACATTTTTGTACAGTTCTTCTGTGTATTCTTGCCACCTCTTCTTAACCTCTTCTGCTTCTGTTAGATCCTTGTCATTTTTGTCCTTTATTGTGCCTGACTTTACATGAAATGTTCCCTTGGCATCTCCAGTTTTCTTGAAGAGATCTCTAGTCTTTCCCATTCTATTGTTTGCCTCTATTTCTTGGCATTGTTCACTTAAGAATGCTTTAGTATGTCTTCTTGCTATTCCCTGGAACTCTGCATTCAGTTGGGTGCATCTTTCCTTTTCTCTTTTGCCTTTTGCTTCTCTTCTTTTCTCGGGTATTTGTAAGGCCTCCTCAGACAACCACTTTGCCTTCTTCCACTTCTTTTTCTTGGAAATGGTTTTGGTCACCAACTCCTGAACAATGTTACAAACCTCCATCCAAAGTTCTTCAGGCACTCTGTCTACCAGATCTAGTCCCTTGAATTTATTTGTCACTTCCACTGTGTAATCATAAGTGATTTCATCTAGATCATACATTAATGGCCTAGTGATTTCCCCTACTTTCTGAATTTTGGAATAATGAGCTGATGATCTGAGCCACAGTCAGTTCCCAGTCTTGTTTTTGCTGACTGTATAGAGCTTTTCTATCTTTGACTGCAAAGAATATAATCAATCTGATTTCGGTGTTGGCCATCTGGTGATATCTATGTGTAGAGTCATCTCTTGTGTTTTTGGAAGAGGGTGCTTGCCATGACCAGTGTGGTCTCTTGGCAAAACTCTGTTAGCTTTCTCCTGCTCCATTTTGTACTCCAAGGCCAAACTTCTCTGTTATTTCAGGTATCTTGACTTCCTACTTTTGCATTCCAGTCCCCTTTAGTGAAAAAGACATCTATTTTTGGAGTTAGTTCTAGGAGGTCTTGTAGGTCTTATTCAGATAATTGTTCATCTTCTTTAGCATTAGTTATTGGGGCATAGATTTGGATTACTCTGATGTTGGATCACCTTGTACACAAACTGAGATCACTCTGTCATTTTTACGTCTGCACCTAAGTACTGCATTTAAGACTCTTTTGTTATCTCTGAGGTCTACTCCATTGACCACAGTAGAGATATAATGGTCATCTGAGTTAAATTCACCCATTCTAGTCCATTTTAGTTCACTGATTCCTAAAATGTCAATGTTCACTGTTGCCATCTCCTGTCTGACCACACCCAGTTTACCTTGTTTCATGGACCTAACATTCCAGATTCCTATGTAATATTGTTCTTTACAACATTGGACATTACTTTCACCCCTAGATAGAACCACAACTGGGCCTCATTTCTGCTTCGCTTCATTCAGCCTCTTCATTCTTTCCGTAGCTATTTCTCTGCTTTTCGCCAGTAGTATATTGGACTCCTATTAACCTGGGGGGGCTCACCTTTCAGGTCATATCTTTTTGCCTTTTCATACTGTTCGGGGGCCTCTCGAGGCAAGAACACTGACATGGTGTGCCATTCCCTGCTCCAGTGGACCGTGTTTTGTCAGGCCCTGACTAGCAGGGACATGCCCTTCACGCAGCTGGGTGACGTGCCTGGTGCCCCGGTTGTCCCACTGCTGGTCCTCCATGAGTGTGTCCACCTTTACTGGCCGTCGGGTGTCAGTCAACTTGCAGCCTGAGGTTGAGGCAAGTCCCCGCTGGAGTGACTGGGAAGGAGGTCTGGGGGAGGCTGAAGCCGATGTTGAAGGATGCCCCAAAGCAGAGGGCACTCCAGCCTCACTGCTGCCACCAGCCTGCTGCTGGTCTGCAGTTGATCCGCCCAGGAGTCACTGTTCTCCCCAGAGCCAGCAGGCCATCCGGGGGCAGAAGGCCCCCCTCAGCCTCTCAGCTGCTGAGGACTCCCTGTAGCCAATCCACCATCACCACCAAGCTCTGGTCCTGATGTTTCCTCTCCTCTGGCTATGTGCTGCGTGAGCTGTTTGTACATTTTGGAGACCAATTCTTTGTCAGTCACATTGTTTGCAAGTATTTTCTCCCCTTCTGTTGTCTTTTCATCTTGTTTATAGTATCTTTTGCAGTGCAAAAGCTTTTGAGTTGAAAGGATTATACACCATAATCAAGTGGGATTTATCTCAGGGATACAAAGATTTTTAAATATCAGCAAATCAATTAGTGTGATATGCCACATCAGCAAATTAAAGAACAAAAATCATATGATCATTACATAAATTCATTAAAAGCTTTTGACAAAACTCAATACCAATTTATGATAAAAAGAAATTCTCCAGAAAGTGGGCATAGAAGATATACCTCAACATAATACAATCTGCAGTATGACAAACGTAGAGCTAACATCATACTCAACAGTGTAAAACTGAAAGCATTTCCTCTAAAATCAGGAATAAGACAAGGATGTCTGTCTGCTCTCAATACTTTTATTCAACAGAGTTTACAAAGTCCAGCAATGGCAATTAGAGAAGAAAAAGAAACAAAAGGAATCCAAATAGGAAAAGAAGAATTTTTTAAAACAGAGTGACTGTTTTAACAGTCACTGTTGGCAGGCGACATGATACTATCCATAGAAAATCCTATAGATGTTACCAGAAAACTACCAGAGTTCATCAATAAATTTGGTAAAGTGGCAGGAAGCAAAATCAGTTTCAGAAATCCATCACATTTTTATACACTAAAAACAAAAGATCAGAAAGAGAAATTCAAGAAACAATCCCATTAACCACAGCATCAAAAAGAATAAAAATCCTAGGAATAAAACCTACCTAGGAAACAAAAGACTTATACTCTGGAAACTATAAGACACTAATGAAAGAAATCAAAGACAACACAAACAAATGGAAATATGGACCATATTCTTGGATTGGATGGATCATTATTGTGAAAAATGACTATACTACCCAAGGCAATCTGCAGGTTTGATGAAATCCCTATCAAATTACCTATGACATTTTTCATAGAACTAGAACAAAAAAATTCTTAAAATTTTTGTGGAGACACAAAAGACCCTAAACAGCCAAGGCAACCTTGAAAATGAAAAAAAAAAAAAAAAACAGAGCTGGAGGAAGAGGAATAAGTTTCCCTGACTTCAGACCACACTACAAAACTCGTCATCAAAACAGTATGGTACTGGCACAAAACCAGAGATACTGATCAATGGGACTGGATAGAAGGCACAGATTTGAAGCCGTGCGCCTATGGTTAAATTGATCTATAACGAAGGAGGCAAGGCTATACAATGGAGGAAAGACATTCTCTTCAATAAGCGGTGCCAGGAAAACTGAACAACTACATATAAAAAAAATGGAATTAGAAAACTCTTTAACGCCACACACAAAAACAAACACAAAATGGATTAAAGATCAGATACTATAAATCTCTCAGAGAAAGATACGGGCAGAACAGTCTCTGACAATAGCAACAATATCTTTTTCAGTCCATCTCCCATAGTGATGAAAATAAAAACATAAACAAAGAATAAAACCTACAAAATTAATTAAGCCTAATTAAAACCTATAACATTTAATTAAACCTACAAAAAACCTACACTAACATCAAACTTAATGGTAAGAAATGCAAAGCTTTCCCACTAAGACAAGGAAAGGGACAAGGATAGCCCCACTTATGACTCCTTTTCAGCATCACACTGGAAGTTCTGGCTCAGCAATAAGACAAGAAAAAGTAAACAGGTATACAAATAGAAGAAGAAGAAATAAAACAGCTCTTGTTTCCAGATAGCATGATTATCTATGTAGAAAACCCAAAAGAATCAGTAAAAAAAACCCTTCCTGAAATTAATAAGCAACAATAGTCAGGTTGCAAAATATATGGTTAATATGCAGAAGTCAATAGATTTCCTATATATTAGCAATGAACAAGTGGATTTGAAATTCAAAACACCAAGTGTCCCCAGCTTCCAGGATCTAATGCCTGATGATCTGAGGTAGAGCTGATATAATAATAATAGAAATATATTGCACAATAAATGCAATGTGCTTGAATTATCCTGAAACCATGCCCCCACCCCAGTCCAAGGAAAAATTATCTTCCACAAAACTGGTCCCTGGTGCCAAAAAAGTTGGGGACTGCTACAAAATAATACTATTCATATTAGAACCCCTCAAAATTTTAAACACATATTATAAATCTAGAAAAGTACAAGTTCTACAGCACATGAGATAAATAATAATATTCTAATGAAAGAAAACAAAGAGAAAATAAATGAAGGAATATTCCATGTTTATGGACATGAATACTCTTATTCTCAAAGTGTCCGTTCTGCCCAAATATACCTACAGATTCAACACAGTGCAAAATCAAGCCCCAGCGAGTTATTTTGTAAATGTCAAGAAACTAATTCTAAAGTTTATATGGAGAGACAAAAGACCTTAAGTAGCCAAAACTATATCAAAGGAGAAGAACAGTCAGATAACTGATACTAATCAATTTCAAGAATTACCACAAAGCTATAGCAATTTAGCTAGGGTGATATTGATGAAAGAATAGACAGAATAAATGTAACACTCTGAAGACCCAGAAAGAGATCCACATAAATATAGCAAACTGATCTTTGTCAAAGTAGCAAAGACAACACAGTGGAGAAAATATAGTCTCTTCAAAATATGGTTGTGGAAAAATTGGACATTCATATTTTAAAAATGAATATAAATACAGACCTTACACCCTTTACAAAAATTAATCCAAAATAGATTATCAACCTATATATGAAATGTAAAACTAGGAACCTCCTGGAAGATAACATAGTATAAGATTTAAATGATTTGGGGTATGGTGATGACTTTTTAGATACAACCCCAAAGGCACAATCTATGAAAGAAACAACTGATTAACTGAACTTTATTAAATTTAAAACTCATGTTCGGTGAAAAGGAATGTCAAGAGAATGAGAACACAAATCACAAGCTGGGAGAAAATAATTGCAAAAGTACATCTGATAAAGTACTCTTATCAAATTATGCAAAGAGCTCTTAAAACTCAACAAGAAAACAAATAACTCAATTAAAAGATCAAAAGATCTTAATAGAGATCTCACCAAAGAACATAAGCAGATGGAAAATAAGTATATTAGAGGACATGTCATATGATTATATGTTCCATATCATATGTTCCTCAGGGAACACAAATTCAAACAACAGTGAGAGACCATTACAAATCTATTAGGATAGCCAAAATCTGAAACACTGGCAATAGCAGATGCAGGTGAGAATATGGACCAAAAGGAACTCTCATTCATTGTTAGTGAGAATGCAAAATGGTATAGCCACTGTGGGATATGGTTTGACAGTTTCTTAGAAAATTAAATATACTCTTACCAAACAGAACAGCAATCATTCTCCCTCGTATTTCACCCAGAAGAGCTGAAAACTTATACCTACACAAAAACCTTTCACAAGGATATTTATAATATCATTATTCATAACTGATAAAACTTGAAAGCAATAAAGGTGTCTTCAGTAAGTGAATGTATAAATAAACTGGTTATCTACACCATGAATATTGTGCATGTAGTGTTGCTTCAGTCATGTCTAACTCTTTGCAACCCCACAGACTGTAACCCATAAGTCTCCTCTGTCCATGGGATTCTCCAGGCAAGAATACTGGAGTAGATTGCCCTGCACTCCTCCAAGGATCTTCCTCACCCAGGGATCGAATCCATATCTCTCACATCTTATGCATCGGCAGGTGAGTTCTTTACCACTGGAGCCTCCTGAGAAGCCCATACAGTGAATATTATCCAGTGTTAAAAAGAAATGTTATCAAGCCGTAAAAATATACAGAGGGATCTTAAATATATATTCCTAGGTGAAAGAAGCCAGTCTGACAAAGATGCACAGTGTATGACTCCCACTGTATGATTTTCCGAAAAAGGCAAAACTATGGAAATAGCTTAGAGGACATGGGAACCCACTCCAGTATTCTGCCTGGAGAATCCCATGGACAGAGGAGCCTGGCAGGCCATGGTCCATAGCGTCACAGAGAATTGGACATAACTGAAGCAACTAAGCACGCACGCACGCATGGAAATAGTTAAAAAAAAAAAAATCTTGATTGCCAGAGGGTAGTGGTGAGGGAAAGAATGGATAGGTGGAGCACAGATGTTTTTAGGGCAGTAAAACTATTTTGTAGGTATAATGGGTGTAAAATGTTACACATTTTTCCAAATCTATAGAATGTACAATACCAAGAGTACACCTAACGTAAATTAAGGAACTGTGGGTGATAAAAACCTAGTCAATGTAGGTTCATCAATTTAATAAATGTGCCACTCTGTTGGAAAATGTTGATAATGAGAAAGGATGGGTTTTGGGGGTGGGATAGGGGTGGGATAGTGCAGGCAGGAGATAGATTGTAACACTCTTCTTTCTGCTCAGTTTTGTTGTGTTGACAAAAATTCAATTAACTGTCAAGTGAAGAAGAAATAGGAAGTTTTATTCAAGCCAAACTGAGGGTTGTAACCCAGGAAGCAGATTCTCAGAAAGCTCTGAGAACTGCCAGAAGTCTGTTAGAAATCAAAAGGCCAGTTGTATACATTTTCAAGACAAAGTTTTGTATATGAAAATGAATGCTGATACTTTACACAAGCTTCACTAAGGATGCATAGTTCAGGAAAACACGTACCAAGTGAGCAACAAACCCTCTGCATGTGCTGGACACTCCACAGTGCTGGAAAAGAACACTATTCTTTTAAGCAGTTACCTTCCCAGCATTGGAAGAAAGGGGAAAAAAAAAATGATCTTTATAGTTGAGCAGGCACTCTCATCTTTGAGGAGCTCTGGTTAACCTTAATGCAGATTAGGGAGGGAAGGAGGAGGTCCAAAAAACACAGAAAGACAATTCTAGTTTAGTTTTATCTTGTCCTGGCTTAAAAAATAAAT